TTCATCGTCTCGCATTTTAAACAAACACACCGAGGTAGAGCACAGCCACCAGAAAAAGTCAGGCGTTTTTGTTTGTATTTGATGAATTATTGAAACCGTAAATGCACCGCAGGCAAGCTCTATTTCAGAAAATGAAAATACAATTATGAGTCGAGCGAGACGTCTCGATTTTGATGTTAAGATAAGCTCGAGTGCAAAGTATTATTAGAACGTTAGATTAGTTGCAGACGGAATTAAATTTGTATACGGACCCAGTCACTTTGGCTCAGATAATTTTTCTATTCTGCATAAGAAAAACCGTAAATGCAACGCAGGCAAGCTCTATTTCAGAAAACGAAAACACAATTATAAGTCGAGCGAGACGTCTCGATTTTGAAGTTAAAATAAGTTCGAGTGCAACGGTAGATTAATTGCAGACGGAATTAAATTTTTATACGGAGCCAGCCACTTCGGCTTAGATAATTTTTCTATTCTGCATAAGGATTCGCGGTCGCACGATCGCCTACACGAAAAATGATCTGTTCGAAAAATTCGCAAGCTCGAACATTCAATTACCGCGACAAACGCGCGCAAACGGTGCTCAAGCTCCGGGTTTCCCATCGCTCGTCAACCCATTTCTACATTGTTTACGTAATATTGTTTTCCGCGGAGATGTCGACGCTATCGTGGGCTCCGCTCCGTGTGCAGCACGTGCTGGCGTCGTAAATCCCCGATCAGAATTTATGTTACGCAAAGTGTGCTCGTACATCCACACCGGCCCGCTTGTAACGCGTTTCTGCCGAGGACGATGTTCCGTTTTTTTTTTCTACACCATGCCGACCACCATGGACACTGTCGTTGCGGGAGCGTCGAACATATTGTTATTCCCCGAACGTCGCCGCTGACAATGTCGTATCCGTTTTCGGGATGCAATCATCCCTATAAATGCGTTTGCTCGATAATGCGGCGCAGGTGTCTTTCATCGAGCATCCGCTTCTCTCGCCGCTGCATTTTTCTGCGGCTCGCGTATTTTTTTTTCCTCTCTTTAGTTCTCCTCTCCTCTCTCCAGCGACGACGTCAATACATCTGGTCCAGAACCGTTCGCCGAGCGGACAATACGCGCGACGCCGAAGCAGCTCGGCTTTCGCGTGAAAACACAGGAAAATTCTGGCCCGGAAACGTTCGTTGCGTTTTTTTCGCGAGTGCGGACGACGAAATCTAGATTTCGCTCGACGCTGGAACGATGGTTCGTTCGCCAAGGATGCTGCAAAAATCGCAGCCGTTCATTGTCTTCCGGAGAAGCGACAGATGCGATTAAACACTTGATATGGTTGGAATAGTTGCAACAAAGGTAGTTGAATTTGGCGCAATGGGGCCTCGATATTTGTCTCTCTCAGAAATAGCTTCGTTTCTGCTCGAACTATGTACTTGAGACTTGAGTTTTTCAATAATATAGTTTGTTAATGCAGAATATCCGCTTGTCTTCGCTGGAACAACTTGAGTATCTGGTACAGTAACACCTCCATAATTCGCTATCTATACTAAAAGCATCTTATTTCACTATTTCTTCTTTTGTATATCACGAACCAGAATAATTGTGGTCGTTGAATTCTCTTGCGTCACTTAAAGATCTTGCATACCTTGCTTCTTTCTTTTGTATTTCGTAAACTAGAACACGACGTGGGATTTTTCTGAGTAATTTAGAGATCTAGTGCATTAATATCCCGATACTTGTTCCACTTAGAAACCACCCGAGAAGAACTATACAGAGAAGTGTATCACAAAAAAACAGACAATAACATCTAAAATCTAAACAGTTTATGATTTCCGTCGCAGAGCTGGAAAATTTAATGCAGCAGCGCCTCGACGCATGTCGAAGCGACGCATTTAATCGGAATTGATTTCAAGAAACCGATTACAACAATCATGAGAACAAAAGAAGCTCGTTGCTGCATTCGCATGGCTCGCGAAGACGGCAACGCGAAGAGACAGACGGCGATAACGGATAACGGAATATGATAATGAGTCTGTAAACTGATAAAATGGTAATGCCCGGTGTACCACGGATATCCGTGGTTCTTTGTTAAGTTTGAATGTCGGCGGACGGACGCTGAACGAGTGGTCTTGCTTGGAAACTTTGAACATGCTCGAGAAGATTAACACCGCTGTCTTATCACGGATCGTAAACGATACTAAAAATAAAACAAAGACTCTTCCCCCCCCCCCCCTGCTAGAGTTTCCAGTTTCAGGGAAAATTGCGTCGGCGGTCCTGAGCGGGAATCTTCGTCTAGCTGAAAATTATGGTCGTTCGTCAACAAGCCCTCGCGGATGTTTCGCAGCGAACAGTCCTCGTAATCTAAACGAAATGAAACGTGCAGTTATAATTGGAAGCATTACACGAACCGCAAAAAAGATTAGGAAAAACGATGTCATGCAAACGACGACAACTGGTCGTTGATAAACCTTGATAAGTTGCGCGTCAATATCGCGATGACGTTGGAAATTAGCCTCAACTCATCGCCGAGCAGCAAACACGTAACTCGCTGGTGCAATTATTGGAAAATTGCTCGTGAAATTGTTATAGGTAGCAGTCCCCGTCATTACCTTGGCGTATCAAAAATCGCGAAACTAACGTGCAGATTCTAATCCGGGCTGATTAAACGGAAAAGTTATACTTGCGACGCTTTCGGTAGGTTGCTTGGGCAACAACGATTTGTTCGCAACGCCGAACAGCAGAATCGAATAATGTAAATTCATCGATAAAAAAAGCTGCGTATGCAGAGTTACGTTTACGCAAGCGTTGGGTTATAAGCATAAATCAAAGTGTAAAGATCTGCCGTGCACTTACTTATCGAAATGTATACATAAATAATGAGTATGATATTTTAGATTGTTAATGCTAAGAGAAAATGCGGGGAACATTTATGTAGATTATGTTTATATAGAGTATATTTTAAACACGTTAGAAGTAAGAAAACATAAGAGAACAAGAAGTTAACGCCATAACTACGGGACGCGACAAAATGGCGAATCACGAACTTTCGAATCCACGATCACAGACATTTACAAGGACGCATTTATACAAAAATTTATCGAACTTATTCTCTTAGACGTATGTTGCTATAAAAATCGATAATACATTTTCGTTATTCTTATACATAAACCGCTGATTTTCATACGAAATAAAAATTGTCTGCGTTAATTGTAAAATAATATTACTGTTTTGCATTTGAATATAAACAATTTTGTAATGAATGCATAAAATGTAATGGTGTAATTTGAAGTGGAGTAAAGATTCATTAAAATCAAAGATGTTGATGTATCGACTACAATTTGTTAACATTATTTAGGAAAGGAAGAATATTGTACCTGGCTCATTTGTCTTGCATTCGATGCAGACAATATCTTTATTTACGCAATCTGCTAATAACAACAATAATGCATCTCGTTGATCGCGGAACGATCAGCCAGGTCCAGCGGATTCGAACGAAAGATCCCGTAAAACAGACGCGATTCGTAGCAACAATAGGTCGATTCGCAGCGACGATAGGTTGATCCGCTTCCAGGATGTTTGTCGCGAGGCAGAGCCGCGGAAATCTTCTTTAGACAGCGAAGACATGGCCCTGTGTTCCGTGTCCGTTGTTCCAGCTTAACGCCACTTAACGCGTTTGAAACGGTTTCCGCGAGAACGAGGCGAAACGCGATTAGACCGCGAATAAAATGCGTTTTGCGCCGGCGGAAGTCGGCCGGGGGATGCCTGGTGGAACAGTCTGAAGGGAATTCATCGCGCGAAGCAATCTCCGTGGCACGGCACGGCAGACGAGTCTCGTCCCGGCGCTAATGAGAACCCAGAGGCACCGGAAGTGCCGAGTCTGTAAAGGAACCGGCGACCTTCGCGAAAGCTCACGCGGCCTGGAACATTTCGAAAGAGAAAGTCCCCGGCACGGGGTGAATTTCCATCGCAGCTGTATCCACCCACGCGTCACCCGAACAACAGAGCACGCGGAGGGACGAGGCCGACGCTACCAACGCGACAATATGGCCGCCGCAGAAAAATACGCGCAGCCATCATTCTGCCTTTTAGCCTGCAAATGGAAAATCTCGTTGAATAGACCTCCGCCTCGCAGCTTCAAAGAACTTTATATTTTTATCAACAAGTACAGGTGTTTTCGGTAGATGATTTTAGTTAGTTTATGAATCTTTCAGCAACGTACGAGTCTTTTTTTGGCATTTGTTACGAGGAACTGGTGTTGTCTAGACGCCATTCATTTTAATAATTTGGCAACAATATGATGAGTTTACTGAATTCGTTGTAATGAAAGGTCGATTTATGTCATTTGCAATTTTCCGCGTAGTAAGAAGCTTTTTTGAATGGCTGATGTACAGAATCTCGATTATCCGAACCTCTGATGCCTGACTTCTCTATTATGCGAACAGAGTAAGTAATCGAATAATTGTTCGAATAAATAAATAAAAGAATGATTAAATCAATTTGTTAACACAAGCGTACTTTTTTATGAAAATGGCGGAAGTTCTGAAAGGATACAGTCTTCCCATTGTTATTAATAGACTGCGGATTTTATATATTTATGGTAATATATTTATCTTACATATTTATGGTATGTATATTGGGTAAATGTAATTTAAAATAGTAAAAAGATTAAAAGAATTAGAAAATGTCAGTGCATTAGTTTCAATCCATTTAGTCAACTAAACAATGAATGAACTTGTCAGTTAGTGTCTATCTCTTCCAGCTGATGCAGACAATTTTTATTTTCCAATAAAAATCCGCAGTCTACTTACGAAGCAACAGACGTGTTCGTTACTTTTAGGACTCGGTAGGTTTGGCGTTGAGACAAAAAATGAATGGATAAAAGTGTAATTGCGAGACAAATTGAACAGATAAATCAGTTTCCGGATTTGATCCGCGAAGGGTTAAAACGAATTGTAGATGTTTGTGAACAGAGGAATGCGGTCTTTTTCATCAGCGGAGATTAATTACGGTCGGTTTTTGCTTGCAGGCTGTCGGAGCCGATTGGACAAATCCACGACGGGGTCGGCAATTACACGGCGGACGTGAAGTGTTCCTGGCTGATCGAGAGCAGCCCGAACTACACGATCCGCATGCACGTGAGACAGTTCGCTACCGAATGCGGCTGGGATCACCTGTACATTTACGACGGTGACAGCGTCGAGGCGCCGTTGCTAGGCGTCTTCTCCGGCCTGATGCACAAAGATGGCTACCACGTGCGACGCGTACCGGAAGTGATCGCCCGTTCCGGAAGCGCGTTGCTGCACTTCTACTCGGACGTCGCGTACAACATGAGCGGCTTCAATATTACTTACAAGATCAACGCATGCCCGAGCAGGTACACAAAGCGGATCGTTCTTGTGTCGCTTTGTTTGATCAACCAGATAGGATGATTTGTTTGCGGATCGTGTGCGTATTTATTTGTGTGCACTTCCATCCTCTCCCTCTCTCCCTCTTTCTCTCTCTTTCGCCCTTTCTGCCGCTGTCTCCCCAGTTCCGCTTTCGTTTTTCTCGCCGAGAGGCTGTTTGCGCGGTGCATACAATGGTTTGTTTGACCTGGTGTTCGTCTTCTGCAACAGCTGGTTTACCTTCTCCTTTTTCCCCTGTCGATCTTTGCGCACAATGCATTCCGCTGACCCAACAGGGATCTCTTCAATCGACGCCAGTATCGACGATATTGTTAAATATTCTCATTGACGCGATCTACTTGAACGCGATGTATAATCATGGCAGAAATCGCGCGAACGTATACCACAAAAATGAATTCACTCGTTTCGTCTCAAACTTAGCCCCTTGCCCTACGATCTCCGTAGCAGAAATTGCATCAGTAATTAGGTGTCTCGAAAATGAATTCACTGATTTTGCCTCTACGATCTCTTTGAAAGCTGCGTCGATTTATCGCTGACAGTGTCCTACGAGAAAAAGTGCATTTATCGCATGACAACGTTTAATCTAATCATTAGATAGGGCTGACAAAGGGATAGAATTTTATTTCGATGAAAGGGGATTAAATGATGGAGAGATTAAATAATGTCCATGTTTTCTTTACAAATTCTGTTCGAATTCTGCGTAGTCTAACGCGGTATTGTAGAACAAAGGGTCAAAGATTTGTTTCCAATGTCACTGCGAGGAACATCTCTACTTACATGAAGATTGTGACGAACAACTATCGATAATTAGTTAAAGAGTCTGCGATTCAAATACGATTCCAGAAACCTCTCAGCGTTCGTTGGTTTTTTATATTAGATTACAGATTGTCTTTATAGCCTTCCGTGGCACGTGTCCATGCGCATCGCATCATTGAAATCCACGAGCAACTTACCCCCTGGTTCCCACGTAAATCCTCTTTTCGCGAGCCTGGACACATCTGAAACGGAAGGACAGTTCTGCACTGGTTCCGGTCGAAATCCGTGACGCGTTGTCCGTTCCTCCCCCGCCAGCAAAGATCATTTGTTCGTCGATTAAATAAATGTTTGTCCTGTGTCCTGTACTATCGTGCACCTGATAAGCGCGTGTGTGCCAGGCGATTAGGTCGAGAGATACCCATCGGCCACGTGCGTCGCGCGCGTCCTTTAACCTCGTTACGATCCTCCCCAATCGTAAATCAAAGAGATAAAGAGTAATCCGTCATGGAGATCGTTTGGCTCTACTGGAGGACTCAATAAAAATTCTAAACCTTGGACAATCGAAGCTTAGATGAAAGTAATCATCAGTCTTTCCTTGATAGAAAAGGCTCTATAGGGTTGAACGCGAGAAATCCTTAGCTTCTACATTATAGTATAAATATTTAGTATAAGATATATGAAAGAAACCATTAACATTTGAAATGGTCTCTTCCGCGGATTACATTCCATTAAATAAAATTATTTAAATTTCGTGATGAGTAAATTTGTGGAAGAATAAAAGACGATATTAACTCTTTGCTATCGCTAATTCGTTGTCCTGAACTTCGTATTTCACTATATTGAATTTTTAAAAAATTTATGACACTAAAATAATAACTCTCGTTAAAAGCACAACAAAAATTCATTTTGTGGATTGATACTGGCTTTGCCTAAGATGATGGGTTCAGGCTTGATAATCTTCCTTTTCCCTGGCTCGAAGGGGTTGAATATTTTTGCAAGGATTCTAATTGATTTGACAAATGAAATTGTTCAGGTTAAAAGCACAACAGAAATTCATTTTACGGATTGATACTGGCTTTGTCTAAGATGATGGGTTCAGGCTTGATAATCTTGCTTTTCGCTGGCTCCGAAGGGGTTGAATATTTTTGCAAGGATTCTAATTGATTTGACAAATGAAATTGTTCAGGTTAAAAGCACAACAGAAATTCATTTTACGGATTGATACTGGCTTTGTCTAAGATGATGGGTTCAGGCTTGATAATCTTGCTTTTCGCTGGCTCCGAAGGGGTTGAATATTTTTGCAAGGATTCTAATTGATTTGACAAATGAAATTGTTTAGGTATTCGCACACCGACTGTTCCGGCCATGGTGTCTGCATCGACGGCGTGTGTACGTGCGACGCCACGTGGACCGGCGAGGCCTGCGAGGTTCAAGTCTGCCCGAACAATTGTTCGCACAGTTACGGGCAGGGCGAGTGCAACCGCGAGTCGCATCACTGCGACTGCGTCCACGGTTACAAGGGTGAGGATGCACCTCTGGTCGCCGGAAGCTTGGCTCGAATCCATTCGCACGGAAAACCGCCGACACGCCTGAAAAGTTATTCTCAGGGAGTGCAAGTCGAACTGCACCAAGTCCAGAGGTTCATTTGTCGTCTGTGCGACGCTTACGCTATATCTGCGACAGAAATTGCATTAGACTAAAGTTGTTCGACCGTGGCTGTAGGTCAGAGGATCAAGGGCGATTCCGGTTCAACAGCTTTTCAAATAAAAATACTTATTCGTGTCTTGAGTGTAGAAGAATTCTACAACTTGCAAGATGTTATTATCAGACTAGATTAATTTTGAGTATTTTAGCATAAAAATTGTTTAGCGAGGCTTCTGCATTTTAATGCGATAGATACGAAAAGTTGCAAAATGTTAACACATTCACAACTCATAATTTTGAGTATTTTAGTATAAAAATTGTTTAGCGAGGCTTCTGCATTTTAATGCGATAGATACGAAAATTTGCAAAATGTTAACACATTCACAACTCATAATTTTGAGTATTTTAGCATAAAAATTATTTAACGGAACTTCTGCACTTTGATGCTATAGATACAAAGAGTTGCAGAATGTTAACACGTTCATAACTTGTTCCATTAACCCTCCTAACGGTATTTGTAAAAGATATATACTAACACTGTAATATAGTACAGTACATTTAGGCTTATTATATTAAGTGATATAATAGTTAATATGGAAATACGAAAGAAAGGAAAAATTTATCTGCAAAATTTAATAATGATTGTTATTGAAGAAGTGATATATGTCTAATAATACATCATCTGGGTGATACAGACCCGAAACATCATAGAGAATGGTTACGAAGTAATATCTTTTTGTAAACATTTACTTAATGAATTCAGTTTATACAACAGCGCACTTATCCCAGCGAGCAAAAACGCAACACGGTGATTCCGTTTATCTCTCTCTCGTTAGAGCATGATATAATATCCTCGCAACATAATGGGGTATTAATTAATTTCATCGTTAACACGTTCCGTGCCGAGCTTTTTTTACTCGAATCTTCACACTTTGATATTTTACTAAAACTTGATGTATTACGTGCAATTATTAATTCTCGTACACATAACAACGTAACAAAAACTTATCAACGCCCATTCTTGCGGTGGAAATTGATTCTTCGGTTCTAAATTTCTTGTAAACAATTTGTTCAGTTCACTAAGTAAACATGCAAGCGTGTACCATCGATGGTACACGTGGCACGGAACGTGTTAAGGCGAGCCGCTTTGTTTGTAACCAGCCTGAAATCCAATCGAATTGAATGTATTCAATAAAAAAAGAATAGCGTTGCAGTTAACGCGATCGTGTTACAAAAACTATTTGATTTAATGAAACAGAATTGTTAGAGTAGCTTAATTTCAATCACAAAAGAGACTACAGATCACTGTTGAACTTCGATCATCTGTAATTGGTAGCTAGAAGATCGAGTGAGACTTTTTCGAGCCAAGTTTCGACGTCTTCGGTTATCACGGAACCGTTTCATAAGAACAGTGATCCATTCATTGGCTAATTTCAAGAAATTTCGATGATTCAGGCGTAGACTGCAGCCAGAGAAGCGACAGAGGGTTCTGGGAGACCGTTACGTACACGGACTTCTCGCCGGAGGGTTCGGCTAGTCACTGCTCCATCGTTTGGAAGGACTCCCTGTACGTGGTCGGAGGCGAGAGCTTCCATCGGGCCAAGATGATATACATTTACGATTACAATGGGAACGTCTGGGAGATACCCCACATCGAGGAGAAAGTTCCATTGCCCCGGTACGCACACTCGTGCGTGCTCTTCGGTGACAAGATATTCATGTACGGCGGGGTTGTACAGAACTCCACGGTGACAAATGAGATTTGGGCGTTTGACGTGTCTGCCAAGGTCTGGGAGAACGTCACCGTACACGATAACTGCCACAACAATAAGACCATGTGCGGCCCCTTAAAGGTGAACCATTCACTTCCGGTTTAGCTTTTTTCTACCAGCCGAACAGTTTTCGTCTCCCAAAATTGAAAACGTGTCTTCTTTTGTAAGCGTAATTTCGAGACTATCTTGTCAAGTCAGATCTTGATATCAGACTATTTGATCAAGTCAGATCTTGATATCAGACTATTTTATCAAGTCAGATCTTGATATCAGACTATTTTATCAAGTCAGATCTTGATATCAGACTATTTTATCAAGTCAGATCTTGTGAACAAATCATTTTATCAAGTTCAACATTGAGATCGGGCTACTTTAAAAAGTCAGAGCTTCGTTCATTAAAAAAAAAAACAAGAAAACTTTTCTGCTGGAACAGTATATTAATATTATGCGCCCCACATGGTGCAAAATATTCAAGATGTTCTAACGTGATCCTTCACACAGGTAGCTGGACATACCGCGACTCTAGTGCAGAGCCATGGCAAGAAAGAAAAGATGGTCGTGATCTTCGGTTACTCGCCGCAGTATGGCTACCTGAATGTGGTCCAGGAGTATTGTCTGAGCACCCGCGAATGGCAGATCGTAGAAACAATAGGATTCCCCGTGAAAGGAGGCTACGGCCACACTTCCGCATATGATCCCCTAACAAATCTGATCTACGTCTACGGCGGCTACGTGTCCGAGTCACAGAGTACGCAGGTGTTGACCAGTAGATTGTTCTCTTATCATCCAAATTATCGCGAGTGGAAGTTGCTCACCTCAGCACCGTCCGCTCGTTTCTTTCACACGGCCGTCTTCATTTCTGGAGGCTTGATGATCGTCTTCGGCGGCAACATGCACAACGACACAAATCATTCCGACGGTACCAGATGTTATTCAGCGGATACCATAGTGTACGACGTGACCTGCGACTCGTGGCACCAGTTCCCCATGCCAAAGGAGATGACTGATCTACCTAGGTACGGGCATAGTGCAACGGTCTTCGAAAAGTCGATGTACATTTACGGGGGTTTCGATGGACAGATGCTGTCCGATATGCTAAGGTGAGAATATAGTAATGAGATAGATTCCTATGTAAATATAGTATAAAATTTGAATTTCTTGGTAATCAATTCATGGCTGTCCCAACAGATACACGCCAGGGAACTGTGAGCACCTGACCAACCAGATCCAGTGCCTGAACTCGAGGACAGGGGTGAAGTGTGTCTGGGACAAGCGGGCTAGCAAGTGTATGCAGATCACCTCGATTCCCAAACACTTTCTGATGGCAGATGATATGCATGACGGGATTTACATGAGATGTTTAGATGACACCCCGCCTAGAGGCATGACCTCCCACACAGAGCTATGTAAAGTGCTCTCGGACTGCGTGGCATGCGTGCAGACCTCGTACAACTGCGTTTGGTGCGGGAAAAGTTGCTCGCACGAAATATGCCGGGACAATGCGAACGCGCCGCCGACAAAGGCGATCAAGGATCTGGAGCAGTGCGACGCGCATACCGGAATCGAGTGCTTGCAGTTGCACACGTGCCATGCATGCACCAGCAACCCCCACTGTATTTGGTCCTGGTCGAACGGTCCGGACCGGTGCAAGCCCCACTCCAAGGCTCGCGAGGTAGACACGCTTGCAGAATTAGAATTACTTATTTTTGAAGTTCCTTCTTTAAGATCAACGTTGATCTTCTTACAACATCCTAGACTAGATATATTTTTGAGATCGGCGTTGTTTTTTCTACTACACCTTAGTCTAGATGTTTCTTTGAGATTTGCGCCAGTCCTCTTACCAAATTTTATATCAAATATTTCTTTGAGATCAACTTTCTATCCCAGATCTTAAATTAGAAATTTTGTAGAAGGGAGTAGGAGTGTTCATTGAAGCATGTTCTCTGCAGGTGACCATTCTGAACGGAACTATTCAGGCCCAGCGTTTGACCATCGACTCCTGCCGTGGTCCATGCGTAGAGTATACTTCCTGCAAGAACTGCACGGAGTCGGACTGCATTTGGTGTCAGAACGAAAGGAAATGCGTGGACAAGAATGCATATCCGGCGAGCTTCCCCTACGGACAATGCCGAGAATGGACTACAATGGACGCGAAGTGTCGTCCTACTGAGACAGGAAAGGAGTGGTGCACGTTCTACTCGTCGTGTACGGCGTGTCGGTCGGATCCTGGTTGCGGATGGTGTGATGATGGTTCTGGAACTGGAAAGGGTTTGTGTCTGCGAGGAGGAGCTCGAGGTCCCAGCAATAAAAGTCCAGACACGTGTCCGTTTGAGCGGTGGTACTTTACCAAATGTCCTAGTAAGTCAAGGCTACAGGATTAATGAATTATAAGTGATGTTACAGAGTTCAAATATTTTGTTCATTATGATTGCAGCTTGTCAATGCAATGGCCACAGCAAGTGTCTTCCAAACAGCAGCGTGTGTATCCAGCCATGCGGGAATTTGACTTACGGGCCTCACTGCAACAAGTGCATCCCCGGCTACTACGGGAACCCTCTGAACGGAGCGACTTGCCAACGTAAATTACCTTAATCATTAGATGGTCTATCATTAGACTTGTCAATGGTGAATGGTCGTTCAATTACGCTTTTCCGTTGCAGCCTGCTTTTGTAATAACCAAGGCACACAATGCACTAGCGAGACGGGAAAGTGTTCTTGCACGACAAAGGGTATCATTGGAGATCATTGCGAGCGATGCGACGTGTCTAGTCTTTATCATGGCGATCCTACTAACAAAGGATCCTGTTTTTGTGAGTGACTGAGTTTACTATAAACCTGCGAATCTTCATACGAGCTTCCATTTTTATATTCTCCTTCTTGCAGACGATTTGGCTATTGATTATCAATTCACTTTCAACCTGAGCAAAAAAGAGGATCGCCAGTACAGAGCCATCAATTTCAAGAATTCACCACCGAAGCCCGACATCGACGCAGAGTTCTCTATCACCTGTTCCGTTCTCGCCAAGATGAACGTAACCATAAAGAAAGCAAACACGGTGGAGATACCTTTGCTGCTCGGCGTGAATTGCACGACCAACATGTACAAGCATCGTTTTAGCAAAGCGGACTACAGTTTCGGCAGCGAAGACAACAACACGTTGACCACATTCTATGTTTACGTGTACGACTTTCAGCCGCCGGTGTGGATTCAGATCTCGTTCTCCCAGTATTCCAAGCTAAATCTCCAACAGTTCTTCATCACATTTTGCACGTGAGTACCTAAAACAATTTGACGGTTAACAGCAAGAAACAAAATTTCGGGTATCTTTATTAAATTTTTCTGGATCTTTGTCGCGTACCAAGCGAATGACAGTGGGAGACAATTCGATCGAGCAGTTTGTTCTTTATTTTTTTTCTTCTCCAAAATTCTCTACGCTTTTGTGTTGTCCTAAGCCTCAGGCAGTACTTACTTGTAAACTAGAGATTACATGCCACCACCCAGGTGCTTCCTCGCTCTATTATTGGTGGCCGCAATCCTCTGGAAGATTAAACAAAAGTATGACATGTACAGAAGAAGACAGAGACTCTTTGTAGAGATGGAGCAGATGGCGAACAGGCCGTTCAGCCAAGTGCTAGTCGAAATAGAGAGGCGGGGCGTCAGTAATTCGGACTCGGAACGTAGCGAGTCCGAGCTGACCAATTGCCGTAAGAAGAAAAAGGTTTGCGTCTTATTTATTTTGAATAATTATTAACGGATTTAAGGCTGATGGAGTTCTAAATTGATGGATGATTTCAGGATGCCCCTAGTCCGATCGCGCTGGAGCCCTGTTGCGGCAACAGAGCTGCGGTCCTGTCATTGCTAGTCAGATTGCCTACTGGCGGTGAACCTTACACGCCAGCCGGTCAAAGTGCCGGCTTAGCAGTAGCGTCTGCGTTAGTTACACTGGGTAGTCCGCGAAGGCCTTCTCAGGAATTGACCACGAAGGAGCCGAAGAAGACTCGGAAGTCCGCCAGTCAGCACCCGGACTCCACCTGCATTTAGCGATAAGACGGAACGAGGAGCAAGGGAGGGACGAACATATATATATATAAATATATATACATTACAGTATAGTATAAAGATCGTGGGTGACAATGAGCCTTATTCTGTGATCTTGCCTCGAGACGCGAACGGGCAGGAGGAGTATTGTTGATCTTTTCGAACTCTACTCGAGTGAAATGTGATTCTAATTCCGCGGCGAACCTTCGTTTCGTGTTATCGTCGTGACTACACCCGGTCCGTGATATATAGAATTGTATCAATATGCAGTTCCCAGAGGGAATCGAATCGTAACGATGCATCGTACTGCAACGCGCCATCAAGTATCGTGTTGCAACTTCGAAGGAACGGGGACCGATTATCTCATTGATCAGACTGCGGATCCTTATGCGTTCGATTTTGTAAAATGCAGGAAAATGTTAAACATATTTTAGCTTTAGATTTTTTATGTTGATTATGATGATTATTCTACCGAACGAAAGAGATTTTTATCTTATCCTAATTTTCGTATAGTAATCCGTGAAATGGGGTTTCGCATGGAGATCCGCAGTCCAGTGTCGTCCTCCAAATAGTGATGCTCTAAGTCTCGTGGATCTGACGTCGACGTTAATTAATTGAAAGCTTTGTCTCCTGGATTTTTTTCTTTTCTATGTAGATTGATGGGTTCTTGTGCATATGTTTTGTCTCGATTTGGAAAGAATGTTTACGTTTTAGAACATTTTAATGTGTTTAGAAGAACAATAGAACATTGTCACAAATCACATTCAACAAATGTTTAATGTTCAAACCATGAGTGACAGGATTTATGCATGAACTCAATAAATATAGGACAAACCTGACGTCCAATGTATTTTTGCGCCACATTATCGGGTTTATTGATTGCGCGAGGGGTACATTTCAGGGTAACCTCGTCGGGATAGTAAGCAAGATGTAATCAACAGAAAAATACGTCTCCGTTATTTTTAACCCTCGTGGCCCAAAATCATAAGACGTCTAATCCGTCCTCTATATACATTGTATATAAATCTGTTGAGCGGTTAGTTGGAAGGGTTGTTTCATTTGTCCACCCTCGTAACCTTCTCGGATAAAAATTCATCCATTTTCTATTTTAGATAAAACCTTTTGTCTCTCTATGATTGTTTAAAATATGAGGTTATGAATAAATCTAATTGAACTGATGCGTGGTTTGAAAATGGGTGAAAACCAAGAAAGGACGTTTCGTGCAAGAGGAGTGTATGGTCTGAGGAGTGTATGGGGGTATAGATCGTCGACGCGCAGTTTCCAGCGGATTTATGCGAGAGATTTAAGGAGGAGGACACATTTCATTTTGTAAAACTGTAAATACGTGCGTCGCGCGTCTCCGAGCCGAAAGCGATTGCGATTCGCGTGGAACTTGGGAAAAGGTGACGAGCAAATTGTACAGATAAATTGGCTCGAGAGTAAGAGACGAGCGAGCGAGCGAGAGAGAGAGAGAGAGAGAGAGAGAGAGAGAGAGAGAGAGTATTCGTCTCCAGCAGGATGTAAAAATTCAATTCTAAATTAAACGGAGGCGGGTGGAGACGATGCAGTTTCTAGCGAAGACGCGATTCTTCTAGGACGGCGCTACGATCGCTACGTTTGAACCTTGTGCCAAATCATTTTTCATATTGGTGTTACCGAAGCAAGCAAAGGGAGACAGAATTCTACCAACGAAAAACCTTATGCGTTCTAAACGACAAAAATAGGAGGGACTTTCAAACATATCTTCCGCTGCCTCGTCTCCGGCCGTCTCTGACGAAGAAGAGCCAAAAGCACGATCGAAAAATCGAGCAGTTATGGTTTCTTTTCTAACGTGATGTTCGTTGTAGACATGTTCCCGAGCTTTCGGTCGTGCGATGCTCGGCGTAATTTTAATATGTAACGAAACATAGGGGAGGAAGAAGGATGTGGACGTTGCAATAAGATCGAACTATCGTTTTATATGTGTTTTCGTTTCGCTGCATAATGGTGGCGACGCGCTCGTGCACCGAGCCGAACCTCGTGCTGCGATCTTCTCGGTCAGTGGGAGAAGATGATCGGTATTCTCTACTACGTGTCTGTGGTTTTGTTTTTTTATTTAATCTAGCGATTTAGTGGGACAGAATTATTCAAAAGAGTATTAATTTTCGACGATGCCGCTGATTATTTTATTACTATTACAACGTTGTTATATCCCATTAATAAATCACTAGACGGTATTCTCTGAAACCTACATTTTACATCTTATAATGTGACAATGTCCCGCTAGATCGCTAAAATGTCATCTACATTCTCCTGTAATAAGCGTTAGCAGCTTCCATAGCGAAATTCAAGCCGATCAGGTGTTTCGATTCCTCTTCCAAGTCAGTGCAAGTTACTTCCGGTAATTGTTTTCCAAAAACCCATCGAAAAACAATCTTCAGCACAGCAGGGAAGATCATGAACTGTAAATCAGGGTAAAAGCGTCGTCAATTTCACGATTTCTATCCGACCGCAAGGAACTTCCCAGCGTTCAGACACACTGCTCAACATAGTTGGAGGTTTTTTTCGTACGATTTAGGAATAAGATTTTTACGAGACCTTTGATTTCTACGGCACGAGCAGGCTGTTGCAACTTCGGGGCGATCCGATTGTCTTGAGCAGTGCGGTTTGGAAAAGAGGCTTCGGTGCACCGGACGTGTCGCCGCAGCTCGTTTATGTTCGCAGAACATGAACGGCGCGGGCGTTTTTTTTTAATCATTGTACAGCACGGATCGAGTGCAATGCATTTGTTTAATTTTACCATGTAATACTCATCGAGTTTCGTTCACACTCTCTGTAATGTATCTAGAATCTTCATTGTGAGGGGTGCGACCGGCAGCCGCGGGGACGTAGCTCGAGCCCAAACAAAAAATGGTTACCCTCGCTCCCCGAAAGAGAATTAATTTATTCTTTAACCGTTTCTACCCGCGGCACGGCCACACCCGCGTGCGGAGCAGCGTGGTGTACATTTTATTACCGTGAAGATAATTTAATTTTTTATACAACTGTTTCTTTTTCTTTTTTTTTTTATTTCTATTTCGAGCGACAGCAACCTCCGATCCGCCGGGCTCACGTTCGGTTGCGAAACGCCGAGAATTTAGTTGTACATACGTGGAAATGTTATGTTATTTAAACGTGTAGTGTCGTCGGACGTATTGCTCAACACTGAGTAGACTTTTTCTCATCCGTTCGTTTCGGGAATACTCCTTTTTTTTCTTCTTTTTTTTCACTATTTCGAATCCTCTTGTATTGTATAAGCTTCCGTTGTTTCTTCGACGAAATGCGTTATTTTCGATCGGTTCAACAAAGATGAAAGTATCTCGCTGAAGATAACACGTTTCCCATGCTCAGGACGATGGCTGGCCAGATTCCTCGTCCCTGATCTCTTCTTGTCGTCTACGCCCTTGGTAGAAAGTATTTGATCCAGCCAATCGGGCGTTTATCATTTCGTTAATTTTATTTTAGATGTTTTATGAACTTCTATATATTAAGCACGTGTTTTTATCATCGTACTTTCGTAGCTGATAAAAAAATTGATTCTAAACGTCTAGGTATGTTAATCTACAGACGATCTTGTGAAGAAAGCTGGGGAACCTGGAAATTCTATAATTTCTAACTGTTACCTATACTTTTTATTATTTCACAAGAAATATTCGATGTAAGACATTTTGTATACGACATATCAATAACGACTATGCACGTTTTATCATAGTTGGAGAACCAGTATCGCATGCACTTACACTCTTCTTTTATATTTTTTAGCGAAGCGCGGCCTTTAATTATACATATTTTAATTCTATTATTCGATTTTTAGAATGTTTTAAATAATCCGAGCGCCGATCGAATATTTTCTACCGGGGCTATCGAGTCCCTTGATACTGCCAAGATTGATCCAGCCCCTAGTGATTTCTACGATCTATCTGTCTTCGAAATCCCCCGAGCTATGAAACCATTGATCACCGAACCCCCATAGTGCCTGATTTTATTCGTTCGTTTTATATCAATTATATTGTTCTACACGATAAGTCTGTACATTATATTAAACTTCCTAGACGATCTTTCACAAAGATGTCTCCAGAGTCACTTCTAGAAAGCTTCTGAAACCGTTTCGCCAGGACCCGGTGCCAAGTCACGAGACCCGGCCGCTCCAAACCGATTCCATAACGATTCTCTTGCACACGCCGGTTTCCCAAAGCGACGTCGGCACCAAATTTTTGGCAAGCTTCTGTCTTTTCCGCCGCTCTATGTACTCAGGGAACTTCGCCGAAGTAGAATCTCTTAACAGTGCTACGAAAATCGGTTGCTAGACTCTTCTTTTACCGATCTCGCAAAATCGTCGTCAGAGAAAAAGAAAGCAATTTTCATGAACCGTCCGGTGAACATCTTCGATGAAACAGTGTAACGGATCGCGAAGCTGCAAGCGATTTTCGAAGCATTCGTCGTCGATCCCTGTTTTATCCGATCGGCGAAACAACTGCTTACGGCTCTTCTCGACTGGTTTAAAAATTGTTTAAGGTACGCTTTTGAGTATTCTTATCAATTGCAGTCTCGACGAACATCGTAACGTTGCTGTTGCAACTGGCAGAGACAAGTTGCGGGGGTGCGTCCATCCTGGTGAACGAAACACTGCAGATTCGAGAATTTTTATCGTCGAAACTGTTCAACCATGTTTCGCATATTTTCGTTTTATTTCGGAGAGTATATTTTCTTGAAACCGTGGGCATTTTTCTCAGTCGGAAAATCCGAGAAATCTGAGGGATGTAGTCGATGCTTCACGAGGTCTTTTCTTTACTAAAAGAAAAGCACTAGCTCGTGGCTTCTTTAATTTTGTTCGCAATGTAATCGACCGGTAACTTTCGGGGAATATTTTTGTAACGTGTAAAGCTGCGATCCTTCTCCGTCTCACATTTTCAAAATTTACCCTCCTGTGTCAATAATACGAAAAGAAAGAAATCGACTCGATTTCGAAAGGACCTACGATCAACTTGCAGAATGTATTGTTCCTTTAAGAAACAGTGAAACATATGAAATTGACGTTAAGGGCGGACATTAAGGTTAGCAAAATACTTAAATCGTGGTTGGGCACATCTCAAGAGACGATATCTTCACGAAAGAACCGCACACCGTAGTTGTTCAGACAGAAATGATGGTTACAGAGAGAGAGAGAGAGAGAGAGAGAGAGAGAGGGAGGAAGAGAGACACAAAATCGCGGAGGACGTTCTCTGCAAACGAGTCAACCAACGTTCAGTCATAGTCAACGTAATAGACAAGGTTTTTAGAACGTTAGCGGTAAGAGTAGACGATTAGCACCGACCCTAGATCTAATAACGACGTTTCCCAAACGCTGTCAAGTTGTGTTGCGTTCTACAACCCCCATGAACAGAAACTGGAAGCATATCTATCGAAAACCTGATCATTAGAACCATAGATTGTCATTTAGTCGATTTCCTTAATTCGACGATTATTAGATTACTTTGTTTTACGATCGAAATTGAAGATTTAGATGGATATTTCAGTTTGATCGCGATTAGAATCGCTTGTTTTAGGGTATTACGTTTTCCGAGCGAAATTGGGGTTTGCAGGAAAGCTAAGAGGATTTGCTAGTAACGAAAGAGGTTCTTGACTAACGGACTGTTATCCTTGAACTTGGACATTCTATTAGTTCTGTTCGAATGAAATTTGCTTCGTACTGAAATTTGAATCCTTTAAAATATGTTTCTGAAATATTAAGGAGTCGCTGAACAAACAGAAAAATAATAATATTTGTATACTTGAAACTCTGAGTATACCTCAAATTCGCGCTCAAAGTAGTGCAGAAAATATTTTTAAAAAAGTTTCAAACTCTGAACCTCCGAATTTGTTCGCATCTTAGAATCAGTCATCGATGTTGGATTTTCTGATCAAGTCTAACTCACACGTTTAAAGAGTGCTTTAATTTCAATATCGAGAAGCACCGGAGAATTGTATTCCTTTTTCTAAGTGGTTTAAATGTAATCGTTTCTTCACTTTTTGGATTTATCACGTTGATTGCCGAGCTGTTATTCCTTCTAACAAAATTAGATTTACGCAACCGCGCGACGAATAAAATTTATCCGAACTCTTTCAGAAGCGAAATGACTTAAAAGCAAAAGATCCAAATATCAGAAAATACATCAAATCATTTTTCTGAAGTATCATTTCATTCAATAAAATTGATCTGATCTCTTTCAGAAGCGAAATGACTTAAAAGCAAACGATCCAAATATCAGAAAATACATCAAATCATTTTTCTGAAGTATCATTTCATTCAATAAAATTGATCTGATCTCTTTCAGAAGCGAAATGACTTAAAAGCAAACGATCCAAATATCAGAAAATACATCAAATCATTTTTCTGAAGTATCATTTCATTCAATAAAATTGATCTGATCTCTTTCAGAAGCGAAATGACTTAAAAGCAAACGATCCAAATATCAGAAAATACATCAAATCATTTTTCTGAAGTATCATTTCATTCAATAAAATTGATCTGATCTCTTTCAGAAGCGAAATGACTTAAAAGCAAACGATCCAAATATCAGAAAATACATCAAATCATTTTTCTGAAGTATCATTTCATTCAATAAAATTGATCTGATCTCTTTCAGAAGCGAAATGACTTAAAAGCAAACGATCCAAATATCAGAAAATACATCAAATCATTTTTCTGAAGTATCATTTCATTCAATAAAATTGATCTGATCTCTTTCAGAAGCGAAATGACTTAAAAGCAAACGATCCAAATATCAGAAAATACATCAAATCATTTTTCTGAAGTATCATTTCATTCAATAAAATTGATCTGATCTCTTTCAGAAGCGAAATGACTTAAAAGCAAAAGATCCAAATATCAGAAAATACATCAAATCATTTTTCTGAAGTATCATTTCATTCAATAAAATTGATCTGATCTCTTTCAGAAGCGAAATGACTTAAAAGCAAAAGATCCAAATATCAGAAAATACATCAAATCATTTTTCTGAAGTATCATTTCATTCAATAAAATTGATCTGATCTCTTTCAGAAGCGAAATGACTTAAAAGCAAAAGATCCAAATATCAGAAAATACATCAAATCATTTTTCTGTAGTATCATTTCATTCAATAAAATTGATCTGATCTCTTTCAGAAGCGAAATGACTTAACAGCAAAAGATCCAAATATCAGAAAATACATCAAATCATTTCTGAAGTATCATTTCATTCAATAAAATTTATCTGATCTCTTTCAGAAGCGAAATGACTTAAGAGCAAACGATCCAAATATCAGAAAATACATCAAATCATTTCTGAAGTATCATTTCATTCGTTTCATTAGACTTTTCGGAAAAATATCACTCCATCGAAGATGAACAAAAAAATGATGTCACCGCGTGATCAACGAGGCAGTCGACGTGTTAATCGACAGAAATGATCCCCAATTGAAAGCAGTCGTTGAGTTTCTTCAAGCTTTTCTTCGATGGTTTGGACTTACGCCACTTTCATCCATCGCCGAGCACCAGGGAGAGACGAAATTTATCTAGCGTAAGTCCTAAAAACGCGCGCGCGCACACGATAGTCCGACGGTGGACGCGACAGCAAAAATTCTGTGGAGCTAACGAAAACGGGGAAATAAGTATCGAGGATTTTTTGTTGGTCGCTAGATATCGAAGAGGACGCAAGTTTTTATTCGTAATCATGGGCCAGCCGTGGCCGGACATACATTTAAGAATACTTAACGTAATCTGTAAGTAGGTAGGTATACATCATACGATAATAGCTTGCAACAATTTTTCTAGGACACAATCGAAAATATTTATTTTTATTCAAGCGTAAGCGTAAGGGAACTCTTTGATAAAACACGTTGAAACAAAAAGAAGTGAAAAAAAACAGATTTAATGAAACATGATTACGCTACAGGGAGAACGGGAGAAAGAGGGAGATAGAGAGGGAGAGGGTGTGCGTGAGAGAATGTTCGCATGCGATTGATAATAAAACCTCTCGATCATTTGTATGTATAGATATTTAACGGTGTGCACTAGTAAAACCGACAAAATGGTCGCCGTTGTATGCAAGCGTACGTGCACATTGCGGCTCGAAAGTATTCCATCATTTTATCAATATCAAATTCGCGAGATATCGGCGTATGTATGCATTCGGAAAGATCAACGCCAGTTATCTTTTATTTTCTTAAGTTAAAGGATGCTCGTAAATCAATTTTCCGCGTTCGTTCAGATTATCCTAAAACAATGTCGTCAACTCGTCGTGCAAGCGAGCGTAGTTCGATCAATGATCAAATAATTTTGAGCAACAGTGCACGCCTGTGTATATGTACATGTATGTTATGTATATGGTAATTTGAATGGCGATGCATCATGGGTATGTTGTTATTGCCTTGTTGTGTTTGTACCCATTGCCCGGTCTGGAGAACGGGAGTAATCCAAGTGCCAGTGATCGATTATCAATTTAGCATTTATATTAACGTTATTCATTTCGAAAAGAAGGCGAGTTAAACTCGTGGTTTATCAACAGAAATTATACACCTTAAATCTTTTCTGTCCGAATAGTATTTTATAAACATTCGTTAGCTCTTTCGGGACTTTCTAAAATATTTCAAATATTTTTCTCGGAGAGATCGAGCTTTCGATGTTTGAAAAAATTCGAGGAGAAGAAAAATTGATCTTCGATTATTTAAACAGTCCAATCGTTTGTGTACAACTTCGGGTCCGGGTACGCAAGCCTAACATCGCCGAACTGGCATGCTCGAGGAGTTGAAGTGTTCCCTGTGACCTTGATATCCTTAGATTTCTCTAAAATCGAATTTAATTGATAAAGATCGCACTTAAATTGAAGTTTATCTCGTTTATGAAGGGAATGAGAAATTGACTGCGGATCTTCGTGCAAAATACAAATATTTTACGTCGATTTCGAGGAATAGAAATCAAACGCGAAGGTTTTTCTTCTTTTAATAAATTTCTTAAATTCTTTCAATATACTCTATTTTAATTGTAGCTGTTTGATTACGCTATAAATGCAGTTTCGTGTGCTTCACCCAATTTGTTCGCCAACTTC